ATAAGAGACAGGTTTAACATCACTCTCATAGGTAATACTGAAGCATAACAAGCAATAATGTGAATTACAGTACCAAGTGACTTACAGTTTTGTTTTACCTTGTCAAAGGACAATTAAAAATGTGTTTATCTAACAAACAATTTCAGTCATGAGTTCTTACAAGAAGTCTTAATTCTTAAATTCTTAGCATATCTATTGAATTAAAAAATCAGATGTATGCAAAAACAGTGATCCATTGAATTCTCATACATTAAGATTGTACTTTAAAGTGGGAATTCAGATGCCGAAGAAAATCTTCCTTAGATGTTATAGATGGTGGGAAAACTTCTCGACAGAATTCACATATTCCACACTGATTCAGTTCAGAGTCTGTATAAGCTTGTGCCAGCAAATCATTGTCTCGAGGCTGCCAAATGAGCTAAAAGAAACAGAAAATGATTATTGCTGTGGTTTACATTATGCTGTGGTTTATATTTATATAAAAAAATACTTGCCTCTTTAAAATAGGTGTCCTTTACACCTGCCTGGCCAGAGACATTAACTAGAGTTCTCATTTAAGAAAAACAAGATAGAACTTTGATTTTTTAAAGTTCTATTAACATACTATCCTTGCAAACACTTTAAATGACTTGGTATCTATTAATGATAAATACTGCTTAGGCAAAAGTCTATAATAGCAGTCTTATATGTATCAAGACTTTTCTCTAAATTTGCATTTCAGTCTTTCACTGTAGAAGTCATAGTACATAATAGCCAGAGACAAGAAACCACATTTTTACCTTAGAACAAAGTGTTTCTTGTACAGACTTAATATGAATTGTATTTTATTTCTATTCTTATTTACACATAACTAGTTCTGCATTTACTTATAAAATGACTAGAGCAATGTTATATGGCTTAAGTTACTTATTTGCTCTGACTGACTTTTAGTGTAATCATGTCTCAAATAACCTGTTTTAGGATTCCTTCTGCCATGACAGCATCAGACCCAGTGAGACCATCTGAGTAACTATCCATGTATTCAGGCAATTCTGTAAACTATGATAAATTTGGCAGAGCAGCTGTATTGCTCTTGGTCCCTGAGCTAGTTAGTTTAAAGCCAGCAAGTCTGTTCACCTGACATTGGAGTTCAAGGGACTTCAGCCTAATACATACTTTAAGTCAGAGTGTACACTCATTATTTAGTGTCATAGCATCTAGGAATCAAAAAGTCTACTGTCAGATTTTCAAAGTAAAGTTAAAAATTAAGTTGCATTACTTTAGTTTTACCAACACAGGATAAAATCATAGTTATGTTATATGGCCAGGACGATTAAGTTTTAAGTAAACTGAAAACTAAATGCATACTGCTGTGACTGCAAAGTAGACAGAACGGCAGCAAGCTGGTATGAGTTCTATGTGGGGATGGAACCTAGAAGAGGAGAGCGCCCTACAGTTTTTTTGGCTCAGTTTTCTTCTCTCTTGCTTCACTCACACATGGAAAAGCAAGCAAGAATACTTTAGAAAGTAGTTTCTTTAGAAGTTTTAAATTTCTTGCTATTGATACTTAACCAAGAATTTTTATTTTCAGCTCTTATTCAAATTTCATCATGCAGGATACTTAGAATCTATTGTTTATTCCTCACTGTACAAACCTGGTTTTCATCATAGTTAAATCTTTTCAAACCAGCTAAACTTTTTGGAGTTAATTTCCTGCCCATTCGCTATTTAAGCAGTGTTTAGCTTATCAGATAGCAATAGCAGATTTACTGTCTTTCATTATGGTCAGCAATCCATATAATTAAATTGACTAATTAGTAATTAAGTGCAATCACACCACTTTTTTTCATCTCAAAGAGTCTACTTATTGTATGTTGCTGGTGTAAATTGCATATTAAATCTATCTAGACACTAACACACTTAAACATCCCTACAGAAATGTGTTTAGAATTACTTATACTAATACCTTATGATGTAAAGCACCATTTGAAAAAAGATAAAATAGTATTGTAAAAACCCCATAAAGGACATAGTAAGATTTCAAGTCTTGGAAGCACAACAAGGGGAGGTACTCATCCATCAACCCACTGAGGCAGGCACTTAATTTCTATTTCTTTTTTAGAGTGTTAAGCATGTGCTTAATATGCTTTTCAGAACAGGGATATATTTTAAAATGTGTTCAATTTCAAAAACATTAATATTCAGATTAAGATCAATAGACTATCAATTTACTTTTAAAATCATGAACATTCTTAGAAATATTTTTGGTGGAAACAACCCCCTCAAACTGTGAATACCGATAAACACATGCATCTGTATGCAAGTCACAGTTAAATGTAGTCTGTAAAATCCTAGGTCCACTAATATCCATGTTTATTTTAATCTGCTGCTCTTTTCAGTCACATGTTTTTTTAAAAAGTTACATCCTAAGAAAACAGTACTGAGTTTTCACATTTAGTATCCACATAGAAGGAAAGAGCTAAATTTATTACAGCAACTGAGAGCAGTTCCAAGAACTTACTGTTGCCAAATCTATTGCATTTATGGGGTTTTCCATTTTATAAGTTAACATATGTAGTAAATACTTGAAAGTTTCATCTACAGTAGAAAAAAAAATCAGGTATATAATTCCTCCCTATTGGGGCTTCACCAGTGCCAGGGATGATGGAAGCTGTAAGCGCTGTAACTGCCCCTTAGAAAGGTGACAAAAATACTGCAAAGAAGTTTATGCATAAATTTTGCCAAGCTTAATATGGTTGAAAGGGTATCTATACAAGCAATTTTTTTTTAAAAAATAGTATTTTAATCTACATATGCATTATCTGTGAATCAAATCTTTAGCACAATTAAAAGTCAGAAAAAACCTTTAAAGCTTGAGCCAATTCCCCAGGAAAAATACTTAAGAACCTCCTTTGAAGACAGCTGAATAAAGGTGATGGATATTTAAATATATTGATACAGATGTATTTTTAATGGTTCTAAAGTAATATTGACTTGTTTCAAACAAGCTTCTGGATAAGATATAACATTTTAATCAATGTCCTGTATTTTCTACAGTGCTATTGTAGATATGACTTACAAATACTGAAACAGTTCACCTTCAGCTTTCTTTTCTCCAAGTGTTAGAATTAATATATTTTTCCCCACAAAGTAGATCATTCACATTTTAAATGATGGTTCAAAATTAATGTCCTTATTTTGCAGAAATACCAATGATCAAACCAAACCCTTATTGCTATTCAACTGCAATTCTTCTCTACTTTTTAAGCTGCATACTCCCTATCAATTTATAATCACATACCAGCTGTTTCACTTGCTGTAATACACAATGCAGGGTGCCATCTATTGAAAAATGAATAAACAGACTAACTAGTAAAAGAACAAGCTGGAGAGGGAATACAGAAAAAGAGGATAGTAACAAGCAATGGAGTGAATGCTTCACAGCTCCACAGGAATTCTACCAGTGATAAAACAAATGGTTTAATTTAACTCGGTCACAACTTTAACTGAGGGCCCAATGAAAAATAAAGCACAATAAAACCTGTGCTTTTTGTAGTATGTTAGTATAGAATTAATATCTCCCACACTACAAATAGATATTTAAAATACATTCTGAAAAATCAGGCTTATAGTTTAATATAAAATGATGAAGAACAGCAAACTTTCCGTGGTTTAAAATTCTCATGCAAAACCGGTTTACAATAGAAAATTAAACAAAACTGGGTATGTTTTAGAAGAAAACATTAAAGCTATCATGTCCTACAAGCATTTTTCAAATGCTAGTTTTGCATGTCATGCAGTGGCCAAACTGAGAAGTCAAGCTCTTCTGCTACATGTACCTTGTCATCAGCAAAGAACACAAAGCCATATCAGTGTAAATAGTAAAAATATGCCAAATCCACCCTCACAGAATTCCTAAATATCATTATTTGCTTATTCTTGAAAAGCTGTCCTCTCACAAGGTGTGAGAAAAAAACACAGAAATGTTAAAAAAACAGTCTATAAAGGCCCATAATAATTTTGCCAGCAATTTCAGTTGAGACAGGATGTTACACAAAAACAGCAAAGTATTCAGAAACATGATTATCAGAACCTGCTGAAATATTTTTCTATATTACAGCAACTGGGCCTTGCTTTCAGAAGCTCCCATGGATGTCAAGTAGCTATAACTGAAATTGAAGCCCAAAGTGCCTACATAAACCTAAATTAAACTATTTTAGTGAACTTCCTTTCATTTGAAAAAATAAATATGCTTTCCTCCTCAACTGCTTAAACTATGAAGAAAAAAATTAAAGTTATCTTAGAGAGAAGGAATAGGGTGCTGTTTATACCTCAGACTGAGATAAAAAGTAGATCGTTTTCCATGGTGAAGTATTTATCTGTTCAACTTTTTAATTAGTCTATTTGTCATATTCTCTGCTGTACATTAAAAACAATTATAACAATTATGTGCCCCATTCAACTGAGATCAAAGGTAGAAACAAAGCAATCTAGGGGGAAATTTATGATTAATGACAGCTTTGAAATAGATATAGAAGCAATTAATATCTAAATGAACAGAAATTTGTGCAAGCATATCCAGTGCTTATATCTGCTTAAGTTCCTGCCCTTTCACTGGAAAAGTGCCTTGTACACACACTTCAGTATCAGGAAGAAAAACTGGTAAGAGGTATTGGGTTAAGAAAACACTGATGAGATACCCCATAGAATATATTAATCCTGTCTCAAAGATATTCGCAAAGTGGTTGTCTGAATCATTAGCACTTTTTGAAATTTACAGTATTTATAGAAAGTTACCTGATGAGGACCTCTGATGGTTGTCCCAGCAGCTTCTAAAGAAGAAAAAATTACTTCAGGTATACCCTGGTTTGTGTGCTTAGGTACAAATGTGAAACCAGTGTCTGTTGTTTTTAAACATGTTTTGTCACGGCTATTTTCTATGGGTATGTTTGCATGATTTGGGGGGTTTGTTTTGTCAACAGTAGTTAAGCTTTGTAAAGCTGAGGTCATGAGATCAACTCCATGAGCTTCAAATGAGTTAGGTTCCAATTTACTGAGGTTAACAGCACGGTCTCTGTGCTCCAGGTTAAAATTATGATCTTGAAGCATGTTTTCAGCTATACCAGTACAAGGAACTGTTGGTTTTTCCTGAGTGCTCTGCAAGAAAGCAGAGTCATTGTCTGTAGGTGGAAACTTGACATTAAATTTAGAAAGTGATTCTACAGAGTTGTTGTCCTCATCTTGGCCCACTCCTCTTGGTGTGATAGATGTGATGCATGATGCACCTCTATTTATATCGTTTATAACCCGAGGCTTAAAAAGCTCTTCTGCTTGTTCATCAGTTTTATCAGTACACTGTATCGGCATGGAAAACTGTATTTCTGTGAAGAAAGAACAAAAAAAACATTGAATAGTCCACTGAAGTATAGTTATTAAAGGTGTGGTGTTGGAGTGTTTTTCCTGAGAGGTTTTTGATCTTCCTTCTTGGCTGTTTAACCTTTATTTTTTCTCTCTGAAATCAGAGGCATAGTTCTGAGCATAGTTCTCTTTCACAAATATTAGCTCTGACACAAAAATTATCAAAACAGAAATAAAAGGAAATAATTCTGTTCTAATAATTCTATTTCTTTTTGATTTATGGCTATGAATATTTTCATTTTATTGAAAATTATGTTGTCCCATACTCTTAACACATATTTGCATATATTTACTGAAGTGTTCTGGCAGAAATAGAAGTTGGAACCAAACCCATTTCACACAGTGACAAGAACATGCTAGGCACCATGAGCACAATTTTAGAAGGTATTCAGGTACCAAACTCCCATTGGTTTCCAAATTAGGTAAATATTTAAACTGAATAACTATTCAGAATTGGACCATATTTTCCCTTTCTTTTGAGAATTCCCCCTTCGTTTTCAACACTTTATTAACGAGAATGGTAATAATACACATGGTTATTCCTAATCAGGTGAGAGAACAACTTTAGTACATATTTATTGTACAGTAGCCTTCTGACATCTCTCAGTAAAGCGGACCACAGAAGTAACAGAAATCAAAAAGATTAAATCTATGTCATGTATAGTTTTTCATTCAGCTGAGTTAAGAACTTATTTAAGGAAAACAAATCCACTCTGAAATAAGTTGCCAAGCACTCATCCCCCCCAAATTCCCATCTCCAAATAATAAAGTTTAGTATAAAGCTACACATTAGCCCTTCATGTAACAGAACTTCTGTAAAGGTATAACCTAAATTATAAGTAAGTGCTGAAGTCAGTGTCTTTTGCTTCAACTGTAAGTTTGGCAGTTGTTTTGGTTTTTTTTTTTAAATCACTTAAGAGTCTGATCCTACTATTAAGAAAAGCTTAATAGTAACAAGGGATACCCATAGTAGCTTATTTTATGTTAAATGTAAGCATTAGCAGCACTGGACATTCAGGATCTCTTCCAGTTACAACAAAAATCAAGTCTATTTTTTGTTTTCAGGAAGTGTTGAATTAAGCTCTTGTCCCATATAATAAAACAGTAATCAGAAGTTTGCATAAGCAAGTCTAGAAAATATGTCTTCTGACTCTCCTCAGTCCGGCAGTTTTTCTCTAACAGATATGGGTCTAGAGACATTCATAACAGACATCTTTTGAACTGACAGCTAAATTAAAAGCAAGCAAGTGCTGTCATTCACACAGTATGATGGGATATCACATGTAGTAAGTGCCTGCCTCTCACTCCAAGGGACAAAACAATTACAAGAGCCATTGATGTGATGACTGTCTTTTATAACATGTGATTTGGAGCATTCGTCATAGAATGCCAAAACTGGCGGTGCATTTTCTTGGTGAAATACTGAGCACCATGTGAACAGACTTGAAAAAGGCAGATGGTAAACAGTGGAAATACTTCTATGTATGTGTAATTTACAGTATTTTCAAATATAAAGCAAAGCTTTCAAACAGTTGAATCACAATAAGAGCTTAAGTATGATATTACCAGTTTCAGGTTCTGGCTTTATCTTAAATTTACTCAGTTGGTCTGTTTGTTCCCTGGCTAGCATACATATTCGATGACACTCTTCTTTCATGTCCTGGAAAATAGTCTCCAAATTCTCCCTGGAAGATCAAAATTGTAAATTAAAGAGTCAATCAATTCAGCTTGTTTTGACCTTTAATCTAGTCACACCCACAAACCAGAGAAAAACAATAGTGTAAGCTACTTTTCTTGGATACCTTGTTCCCCAACATATGCATACATATTTTTGTTCTCCTCCGTAAAAGCAAGCAGGAAAGAGAAAAGAAAATGTTATCAAAGAGCTGTTTAGTCATATCATACACACATACATCTGAGTTTAGGGCCTGACCCTGCAAGGAACAACCCCCCCCAAATCCAGCCTTTACATTTCTTTCAGTTCCCTCAGGTATTTTGTGGAACAGTTTATCTTTCACAAGGGTACTGTTTCAATCTCATTCTAAGGAAAATAAGATGTGAACATTAATTGTTTTCCACTGGTTTCTGTGCACTTCAGGTTTTGCAGGAGAAGGAACGCATAAGCATTTTTTACAGTTCTTTCGTTCTCTGTCTAAGTGACACTTTGGAAAGGGGCTTGTGAACTCATTCCTTCTCTGTTTTATACAATATCACATAGATTTTCCTTTTATTTTGAGGGATTTTTTAATTCTATATTTTCCAGAGTATCATATGGATATCTGATATTTAGTTATCTGCACTGAGAATGGTAAAAATAGTTCTTCATGCTGGTGTTTCATTTGCCCAAAGGCAGTATGTTATTCAGTTATTGATCCATCCATAAAATTCCATTGTGAAGTTTTGATAAAATTCCTGAGTAATTTATATTTCTAAGCACAATATAATTAATTTTATAAAATGAACTTCAAGGGTGAAAAAGTAAAGTTGGTGATAAACTGGATTTATGTTCTCTTTTGCATCTTTGTATCAAGAGCTCAAAAGGGCTTTTTAATCCAATGAACTGTTTTTCCTGCTACTGCTTATTCATATAGCAATCAGGAGTGTCACGAGCTGTGTTCCTACTTCTGCTGTGGTTCTCTTTTTGAAGACACAAACGTCTATTTGTATCTCATTTGAAAAAAAATCTGCAGAAGAAGTTAAAGTTGCTACTGTTAACACATTCTGACCATTTTTCAGGTGTTTTGATAAATAAGAAATTAAAAGACTCAACACAAGTTTCCAATCAGAGCTTTAAAATATACACATGATTAGATGAATCAATCTTTGCTTGACATTTGTGATACTATAATCTTACCAGTGTCAAATTACCAGAAATCTTACCAATCACATACCACCTTCCAAGAAAACAGTAAAGTAAGGGAGCTATTTGAGAGCAGAGAGACAGAAGACAGGTAAAGGTTTTTCATTTTTTAGATATAAATCAGTAAAGACAAAAAGTCTTTATCACATCATGGTGTTATTTCCTCTCTTTCTTATCACAAAGCAGGAGTGAGTCAGACTAAAGATCCATGCAGTTCACCTTGCCTGTGTCCAAGAGTGACCAAGAGCAGATGCTTGGGCAAGAGTGTAAGAAGACAGCAAGAATTTATGGTACTTTTTGCTAATACTCTCCTAGCCTCACCTTAGAGAGTCTCCTACTTGACCTCAGCAAAACTGTTAAAAGTGGTATTACTGCCTATGCTGTGAAAAATGCAAACCTAAGACTTTGGTCAATATTTTCCCAAAACATTGGCAGAAGAGGGAATACTTATATAGGAAATATACTGCTTTTGGTCCCTTGGTCATAGCAAGGGCTGGCTGGCTTCATCTTAGAGAAACCTGGTTTCAAACTCTCTCATCTAGGATGGATCAGGCCAAGAATTATTTCTTCATGCTGACTAGGAGACCTCCTCCTGGCAGCGCAGCAGGATCCTCTGCTGTGCTGCCATCAGTTAATCCATTATGGTTGTACATTCTTGTTCTGAAGAGAGTTAATGCAAGGGAGTTAATGCTTATCCAAACCCCAGCATTAACATCCACTGCTGTTTCCCACAGTTTAACCTCTTGATGAACCAAATGGCTATTTTTCTCCTTCTCAACTTATCCCTACATACTTACAAAGCCTCAGCTATGATTCCACATAGCTTCTGGCTTTATTTACCTTCCTACACTGGCTCTCTGACCTCTGCTGCTCCCCCCTCTCCCACTGCTCCCATCAATTTTTTAAGGTACTGTGTAGAAAAGAGGGAAATTGCTGGTCTTATTTAATGGCAGAAAAAACAATTAAAAGCAAATTTTTAAAATGCTGCAAAAGTATTTACCTTTCAGGCATAGGTGAAATACCAGAGATCCCTAAAAATACTTCAGACTTAACTGGAACAACTTTCTTATTTTTCACCTTGAGGAAAAATATGAAAATAGTGATCACAGGTTAGCATATTAATTTTGCTCTTCACCCTGATATGAATACAAACGTCATGGGATCCTTCACCTAGTCCTTCTGGAAGCTTTCAAAACATTCACAAAATGACAAAAGCAGTCTTTTACTGTTTGTGTGAAATTTCTATTTTTAGTTTAACTTAGCAACTCAGTGTGGCATTCCTTTGCTCATACTCCCTTGAAGAGAAACGGGTTCTAAGAATATTGCCTGACTAATTCTGTTTTAATCACATATAAGGTAAGATTATGCATTGTGTAGAAGTTTGTTAGTGAGGTATCCAGCTATTTAAGCTCTTAAAAATCAATTTATTCACTGATATTTTCAATGAACACATCACAAGCTAACATGTCAAGAGTTCTAGCAGGATTTTAAGTAAGTTATTAACTTTGACTACCACCTTGTGGTTCACTCTAGTATTACATAGTTTTAAATCTGCCAGGCATTAAGGGAAGTTTTTATAATAACCAGTCATTAAGCTGCAGTTCCACTAGATCTACATTACCAGATGGCCTGGGTAGTTCATATGTGCTCCAAATCAGACACAGCACTTGATCATATGTCTGCCAAATCAGCTGATTTCAATGATACATTGTTTATAATCACAGACCCATAGCCTACAAGTTTGCCTTACCTTGCATTAAAGTGCAACTGCAGCTCCTGTAGACACGGTTGAGCTGCCTCAATAAGTAGCAACACAGGTTACAAATGCTTGTCACAGTGAGCTAAGCAAAGCTTGGGAAGTCTAATAGCAACAGTTGCTGTGCTCCTACCCTTACCTATGTTCACTTTAAATTAGCTAGCTAAAATATTTTCATGGTTAGATACACATCAATGACTGCACTCTGGCTATCCCTCATGGACAGAATAGTACTCTGGATGCTATTCTGTAACAAAACCAGGGTCACATAAAAGTGAACAAATCAACTCAATCCTGGTGAAAACTTCAACTGAAAATGATAACACAGAAATGCTAATCTGGAATTTTCACAAATACTAGAATTTTAATGACATAACATAAAATAATTAACACACAATCCAACTGATATATATTTAACAGTTCGGTGTTCCCTATGTGCTTTATATACTTTAATGTTTTCCTAGTAATTATATAATGCTGAAATTTAAAATCAGTTTCTTAGAATAATACAAACATGTTTGAAAGAAGTAATAATTTACAAACATTAGTTTTTTTCATTTGATCTCCACTTGGTTTCTTATCTTACCTCCCTTTTATATGTTGGCATCTGTATACCCTTTTGTGCTTCATTTAATTCTTTCAGTTTGCTTTTCAGAGTTCTTATTTTATCTTCTTGATTGGAAATAATAGATAAAAGCTTCCTTTCCTTTTGATTGTTTTTCTCCTCAAGTTGCTTCAATTTCATGCTCTCACTTTCTAACTGTTCCTAAAAAATAATTTTAGAAACACCAGTACAATTAATAGAATTGTGGCTTGCAAGATATCACTACTCAGCAGTCTGGAACCAGCTAAATTAAGCTTCTGCAACATAAGTAAGGGTCAGTCTTATTTATTACATTATTAACTTTAAACTGATAGTAAAGACCTACCACTACACATAGATGTAACTCATAATAGATGATTACTCAAAACAACTGTATGTTCTGAATTTCTGAAAGTCATATTAGTGTTTATAAATAAAGACACTCTTTTGGTTCACTTACTATACCATTTAAATCAACATTTTATGTACAATGTATAAAATATTATTTCATTATTTTCAATCAATCTTAAACAATTTTGAAGTAGCTACCTTAATTTTTAAGCAGAGCCAAGAATGGAATCATAGAATCACAGAATCATAGAATATCTCAACTTGGAAGTGACCCATAATGATCACTGTGTCCAACTCCCTGCTCCTTGCAGGACTACCTAAAACGAAATCATATGACTAGGAGCATCAACCAGATGCTCCTTGAACTCTTGACAGGCTTGGTGCTGTGACCACTTCCCTCAGGAGCCTGTTCCAGTGACCGACTACCCTCTCTCAGTGAATACCTTTTTCTTAATGTCCAACCTGAACTTTCCTTGATGCAGCTTCATTTCACTTCCTTGTGTCCTATCCCTGGTCACCGGAGAGGGGAGATCAGCACCTCCCCCTCTGCTGCCCCCCTTGAGACTGCGATGAGGTCACCCCTCATCCTTCTCCAAGCTGAACAAACCAAGTGTCCTCAGCTGCTCCTTAAGAAGAAGTTTTGCACTTGAGACCTTTCATCATCTTGGTCACTCTCCTCTGGATATACTCTTAATAGTTTGATGTCCTTCTTATATTGAGGTGCCCAAAAGTTCACACGGTACTTGAGGTGGGGCTGCACCAATGCAGTGTAGAGCAGGACAGTCATGTCCCTCCACCATGTGGCTCCGCTGTGTTTGGTGCACCGCAGGGCATGGTTGGCCTTTTTGGTTGCCAGGGCACACTGTTGACTCCTATCAACTCTCCATCAACCTAAACCCCCAGATCTCTTTCTGTGGGGCTGCCCTCCAGCCTCTCATCCTCCAATTTGTATGCTTAACCAGGATTACATTGCAAATGCAATGCTATAAAGATTTGTGAAATAAAAAGCAGTGGCTGGCCCCACTTCGGTTATCAATCTGGTAATCATGGAGTTTTTATATATGTGGACTTTTTGGTGGAACAAAAAATATAACAATTTTTTTTAATATGCACAAAGATAGTCCTTGAATAATTTTCAAGAAACAACCTATAGTTAAAAATGTCTATGAAAACCTTACAGTTGTCAGTTTATGAAATCTACAGAAACACTGATCTTGAACTGTATCAAGTGTCACAAAAAATGGTCTGAAGCCCACTGTCTAACTCTACCAGAGAAGTAAGCCCAAAGGGTTAACTCTGCAAGAAGTAATGTAAGTGAAATGCAGTGAGATAGTCTGTAGACAGGTAGGACAAGGTGAACAGAAAAGAAGCAAGTAAGTGCTTTTTCAAGAGCATCTGTTTTATTTACAGATGGGACATAAATAGGGTAAGGCTGTGCATTTGGAGGTTAGGTAAGTAGGTGCTACTCTACCAGACAATGACAGCCATGTAGGGATAGGTCCAGAGCAGTCTAGAGACACTGGGTGGTTAACCATGGATATGTGTATATGCAGTTGACACAACAGTTTAACCTCAAAAAATTATACTAGCTGGATAAAAAAACTCAGAAAAATGGTTTTGAAAACATTTTTTTTTTCTTTAGTTTCAACTGTGACTTTGAATAGCAAACCTATGGTAAGAGCTTCCATGCAACTCCAGACTTGGGTGGTATCTCAGGGATCCAGATTAAGCCTCTTCTGTGCAGTGGGTTCAAAACAGTGTCTAAAAATGGGATATTTCTATCCCAGAAAACCTCTTTAAACTTAACCCTTCTTCTACCCTTTGCACTTCTGGCAGGTCGTGTGGGGAATATATGTATAGTTCTAGGACAGGTCACGAAACAGTTCCTTTACTCTTCTAGTGTAGAATCTGTATACATCATGGTAGATAAGTATCTGGGGAAGCTGAAGAAAAAAACAAACAGCAGAAGAGAAAAAGAGATTTTTTTTTTATATGGTTCTGGAACAAAACTAACAAGACGACTGAGTATTTTAGGCTAAAGAACCTATAGATCACATTCTATAACTGCTGCTAGATCAGCTAAATTTTGTTTTCTCAAATGGCACAAGAAGAACACTAGGAAGAATTACAGTACTATGAGGCACAGAAAGTTCAAAGCAAGTTAAGGAAGCATCTGGTGAATGAGAAAAGACAATCACGTCTAGCAATGTGGGAACAAAATAATTTATGTTAAGAGGAGATGGAGATGTACATAGGAGTCTTCTTAACAGATATGAAAATACTTTGAAGAAAGTTATAGCAGGGCCAGATGCTGAATGTAATTTTATAATTATACAACTTTTCCATGTTTTTTAAAGATTACAAAGTCACAGTAGCTATAGTATGGGGAACTGCTTTTTGCTATTACAGAAATGGGAAGGCAGTGATATTCTGTGGTGTGGGTTCACAGATCCCAAGCTACCACTGAGCCATTATTTGATCACAGAGTTCCCAAACATTAGAATCACAGAATAGTTAGGGTTGGAAGGCACCATTAACGGTCACCTAGTCCAACCCTGCCTACAATAAGCAGGGACATCTTCAACCAGATGAGGTTACTCAGAGCCCCATCCAACCTGACCTTGAATGTTTCCAGGAATGGGGCATCTACCACCTCTTGAGGCATCCTGTTCCAGTGTTTCACCACCCTTACTGTAAAAAATCTGTTCCTTCTATCTAGTCTGACCATTTCATGGTCAAATTCCATTTCCCATGTAAAAAGCCAATGGGATGCAGCTTCTCCTGTATTTTCCTTTGAAAAGGATTTGCTGAAAATCTAAACACCTAGGAAAAAGCTTATGTCAAAGACAACACTTGTCCTTGAAGAACAACTCCACCCTAAGGACCATAAAATAACTAACTGAGCCTGTGATACAGCATTGGTCTCCACACACATAATTTATCTGTTTGGGACTTTTACAGCTCTAAATAACATGGGCTTTCAAAACCTCTCAGATAACTGGGAACCCTGCATTAATGACTAATAGTTCTCTTCCATTTCTCCTACATTCTCCTGCAGGAAATGGAGACAAGATTTAAACAAGCAGTGAGAAAAGTCACATGGGCACCAATATGAGAAGAGCCATGCAGTATGTTGCAATGAAGTTCTATCAGTACATACCGATGTAAACCATCATTGTTGTGCACCTTCAGGATAACACACCAGGAAAAACACTAGAGAAATGATGACACCTTTTGGGATCTTTCAGTAATACAGCCCTTCATAGCTTGATGATCTTGCAGTTTCTAATACTGGCTGTGACTAGCTGTTTGCAACAATATGGTAACATTTATAAACTGGATGAAGTTTATAAAGCTAATGCCATGACAGATATCATACAGGTCGTACCTGGTCAGTTAAGTACTTGGCCACACAATGGATCTTTTAAGCATGCTGGTATTAGCAGCCAGCAAAGAAGTTACATTTGTATTATGAACAGATTAACAACTTCTCTTTTGGTAAGGCTTTATAGGATCAGAGGATAATTCAAGTTGGAAGGGACCTCAAAGGTTCTCTAGCTCCTAATCAAATCAGGGTCAAATATGGTATCTGATCAGGTTACTCAGTTTGGTCTTGAATTCTCCAAGGATGGAGACTGCACACCCCTCCAGGGAACTTCTTCCAATGCCTGACTGTCCTCATGCTGAAAAGTTTTCCCTTATGTCCAGTCTGAACCTTTCTGTTTCAACTGCCCATTGTCTCTCATCCTCTTGCCTTGCACCACTGCTAAGAGCCTGGCTCCATCTGCCTAATAATGTAGGTATTGGAAAGCTATTAGCTTCCCCTGAAACCATCTCTTCTCAAGGCTGTACAAGTCCAGTTTCTGCAGCTTCTTCTCATGGGGTATGTACTCAAGACCCCAACTATCTCAGTGGGCCCTCTGCTGAACTCACTCTAGTTTATCAATGTCTTTCCTGTACTGGAGGTCCCCAAACTGGATGTAGTATTCTAGGTGCAGTCCAATGAATGCTGAATAGAGGGAAAACCTTGCTTCCATGCGTGTGTGCTCCTGTTAATACAGCCCAGGAAGCTGTTGCCCTTCTTTTTGTCAGGACACACTGCTGGCTCACATTCAGCTTGCTGTTGAACAAGACCCCATCTCCTTTCCATTAGAGCTTCTCCACAGCCAGTCAGTCCCCTGACTGTACTGCTGCAAAGGCAGGTCCTTTTATTTTTCCTTGAAGTGTGCTATAATGGCTTGTTTCAGTGGCTTCCTAGAATAAACAAACTGTCAGATGGTTTCAAGGAAAAATACTATTCAACTGATGAACTACTGTAAGTGCTCTCAGGCAATATTAACTGTAACTTTTAACAGTTTAACTACAAACTTTTCTTTATTATTGGGTAGAGATAGTTTAAGTAGATGAAACAATAAGAAAAAAGGCTACTGATACCAGAATTTCTTATATCACATAGCAGGGCCTAACTAATCCTACAGTATACATCATACTGGCAGCAAAGAACTGCTAAATTAATAAAATTGTCAGCTAGCATAAAATCACAAAGTACTGCTTTCTTTGCATCAAGGATAGGAAACAAAGTGACATTAGAGAAGCTGGTATTGACTGGAACATGCAACTCTGCAAGATTGCTGCAGTAGCTGCTCTTAGTTACATAAGTAAATTTAGCACCATAATTTTGAGCATAAAGATGACTACCATACATCTGCATTCCTCTGCATATGTCCTGCACAAAAAAAGACCTAAACATTTATTGCAGGATGAACAGTTCTGTATACTGTATGCATCATTCATTCCTCACACAGTTTCTTTCTTTTTCATGGCACAAGAAATTCCAGTCCGCATGGTGTTTAATATTGAGGTTCTTGACCCAGGAAAATATGAACATGATTTCTTGTCACAGGTATTGACTTCAGCTTAATGCTTTATGGAGTTTGCAAGGATTCTGATGTCTGACTCTGTACTAAAAATTGCATGCAGAAGAAGCTTTACTTGACATTGTCTAATCTTGCTTAGTAAAGTCTTCTGTTTCCTGGGCAGCTTTGGCTCTGAAACAGTAAATGGATCCACATTCTTCCTGGTTAATAAAGTTTAGCCAGGCTGTACTCAAAAACAGGCAGCAATTTAGGTCCTTTTGGTCTCCTCAAGCAGGCAACTGAAAAAAACCTGATAATTTTGTATATAGTTTGGTACTGACCACCAAGCCAATCTGGTCCATTCACCTCTTTCAGTGAAGATGAATGTGAACAAAAAAACCACCCCCAAAACATTTTATGACATGCTGGCAACAGAATTTGACAACAGCAGATAAAATACACAAGTATGGGCACCTACTAGAAAATGCAGAAAAGCTAACCACGCACCTATTACAATCAATCAAGGATTTCTATTAACTTTACTGGAGGACAGAAATCCCATTGGACTTATCAAAAGACAGTTTCAATAGGTATTAATAAGACCAGGTACCTCCAGCCAGGGGAGAGAGTCCGAGTTTCAAGGAAAGGCAGCAACATTTTAGTTAATAGACTGTAATCATAATTTTCTGTCCAGAACTGTACATTTTGCAAGCCTGAAATTTTTGGTGGAGAAGTAGAATAAAGCAGTTAATGCAGTAGATGACAATGGCCATAGATATAATTTATTTGATTTAGAGCAGAATGTGGGTAGAATATGATTAGAAAAATACGGGCTTTCAGACAGAATAGTCAAGCTTCCAAATTTTAATAGCTGAAAAAGCCAATACTTTATTGAATTAGATACAAGACAACTATACTGGGTCAGTGACAGAATGATGGATTTTTGTTTAACATGTCAAAATATGTTGTCTAGTGAAGAGTACAAGAAAACAGGAGACATCCATGATACATCCCAGACATTCTTAGTAATAGTTTGTATGTATTTATTAACTCTCAACAGATTTCTCTTCCGTGAAGTTGTCCAATTTTCCCTTGAAGCAGGAAGATCCACTGGTTGACTCCCTAACATGTGAAGAATCAGATCCTTTAGTTTTGATATTTTTTTAACATGGCACATAATTTTTTTTCCACTTCATTTATTCAGAAAGACAGAGAATTGGGCACTCTTTGGTTAACTTGATGTGATCCTGGTGATTTGCTACTGTTTATTCTCCCCAACTTGTTCCATACATTCATTCCATGCAGTTTACCTTTCTATCTATCCATTCATATCCATCTTACATCAAAATTTCTACATTTACAAAATGCAAAAATTGGCAGCTGCCATAAAAGTATATAGCATTTATCACAGCACAACTAATTTTCCATCATCTTCAACAGGACGTTGGGGTTATATGGTTCTTCTCCCCTGAGTTTGCTCAGGAAAATGAGAACTTGTGTACAGACTGCTGTGTATCTACTCATAGCCAGCCTGTGAATGGCATCGCCAAGACACAGTCTGAGCGTATGTCTGCTGTGCTGTCTGGACATCTTTGTATCACTCTTGCCAGGTTAGTGGAAGCTTACTAGGCACAGCACCAAACACTAGGTTCCTCCTTATATCAGAAGGATGATGCAAAGATATCCATGTACCTCTGCAGAAGCTACACTTTGTCCAGTCACACATGTTTTCCTCAAGCTCCATGCTCTCAACACTTAGAGAAGTACCACATTCCCAGTAACAGAAACATAGAGTAGACTGGGTCAACTGTAGTTGGCATGGGTTTAAATCTCTACTGATCTCCTCTGAAAAGACCTTATTTGTATTGCGCCTGGGTTTAAATGCAGACAGACTGTATAGCTGATAGTTGATTCTGCATGGAGTTATATCAGAAGTATTTCTGTTCATGGCACAGATGAAGCAAAATCCAGATGAACTACCTATTGCTGAGAGGTAACTGCAATAACTACTACACAAAAATAGGCAGATAAAGACAAATAACTTACATTCCATTAATAAAATAGCTCCTGAAATAATGATTCCAGCTTCCTATGCATTGCCTGTAATCTTCTGTATAGATCACATAATTTCTCAGTGTTTCCCCATAAGAGCAGATAACATAGCTTCCTTTTTTCTACTCATTATATGACTAAATTACTTAAAACTACTGTCCTTGAATAAGCATTCAGAAACAAGAGTATGAAATAATAGACTTTGTGAGGTCTCCATGTGCAATTATAAGACTGAATTTTTATCCAGCTCAAGACAGAGAAATGGAAAAATATGTAAAGATGTTCCATCAAAGAATTAACCCTTAAGCTGTGCAAATATTAGGAAAGAAATAAAATCTTGTGATTACAGATTCTAGCATAGAAAAATTATATAAAGATTTCTTTTAAATAGAAAAGGAGTGTATATAAATATTTGGTAACATTACATTTAAAATGTTTGCAAAGGCTTAGTCTCAAATGAGATTCCTTCAAGATAATTACACATCAGTAACACAATGAAATTATTTTTAAATTAACATTTTTGATTAAAAAAAAGTCTTTCTGTGAATTTAGCATAAATAATTTGTTTATAGCTCTGGTTTAGGAAACAAATCCTGAAATTAATTATTTTTAATTTCAATGCCTGACTCCTGATAAGGGTTTTTTAAGGACCCTTACAGGGTCCTTGCTATGGAGATTCATATTAAAAAATAAAGAGATTTTGTGTTACAAGACAGTTCCCAGAAACCATAGTAGGATGACTTAGGATAAGAATCATGCAACTTTGTGCATCTCTGTCAGTCTTTTCTCAATATGCAAAATCCATTCAAAGTATTTCTGATCTATTCTGCGTTCTTACTTTACTCATTCCTGTTACTCCCAACAGGCTATAGTGAAAATCTCTCTACAGTGAAGAGGGGCTGAAGAGACATCATATTAAAACTGGCTACTTAAACACCCAAACAAATCATCAGTGTCTCCAGAGCAATAGATAGTTCACTTTCCACTCCATCAGTTTCTGAGTGCAGATTCTCCATTTCTTGCAAAAATACATAGACTGGTTGCAATGTGAAAATCTTTTGTGAGAGAAAGAGAAAGCCCCTTCTTCAACACTGTTTTTGGCATGTCAAGAAATAAATAAGCAACTAAGTTCCTACTTTATGATCAAAACTGTTCTAGAGAGCTCAATGGCTGAACAGTGATTACACTGGGAAGAATCAAAAATAGATGCTTGGTTCACCTAAGCAGACTGCAGTGGCACAACATTCATGCACTTTAAGTGAGGATCTTGTATTAGAAATGCAGTTCAAAGGCACCAATAAAAAAAATCTCACTTATCTCTTTAGGTTGTCATAGTACAATCACAGCACAAGTGTGATCTTATGTTAAACATACTGCAAGCAACCATACCTTTAAGAGTTTTTCTCTTTGCTTTGCTATGTTCAGTTTTTCAGAGAGCTGGCTGAAAGATGAGTTGGAGGTTTCAATGTCTTCATGCTTCAGAATGTAGGTATGCACATTACCTTAAAAGAAAAAGGACCTGATTATCACTGTGTTTATCCCCAGTCTCTAAGTACAAACAAAATTAAAAGAAGCTAGGCTTATGTTAACTCCTTTATTTTCTCTGAGTATGCCTTCACATTAAACAAGCAAGAGAAGCCCAATTCTGTGCTTAGAGTCAATGCAAGACTACATCAGCAATAAAGAATGTACATGTACACTTAAAAATAAAAGCCAACCACTTTGCTAGTATTTATGAAAACCAGGAGTGTTAGGCTAGTGTGAATAAATATTTAATGAGCATGGCAGATTAACACATGGTTACTTTGACTTTTTTCTCTTATTTGTGTAATACAGTCAAACAGTGGAAAATTATCCATCAGTGACTATTTGATTTGAAAGAGAATTACCTGCTTATAAAGCTTTGGTTATCCAATAAGATTAGCATCGTAAGACTCATCTAACATAAAAGACATATAACCATAGCACTCACATCTAGAACAACCTGAGCTAAACTTATTAACAGATAATTGTAAAATTAATATGTAGCAATTTTGTTTTTAATTCTAGTGAATAATTTGAACCCATATTTTCATAACTTTTATTGGCTTCAGTGTAAGCAGGTTCTACCTCTAAAGAAAATCTCAACATTTCTTGAAGAGGATAAAGAGAGACCTCAGAAGTGTTGCATTTTATAAATAGATTTTGAAACTGCACATTTGTGTTAACTCTCATGTTCACAGAAAAGTATGATACTGCTTTGAGAGATGTATATTGTAAAAACTGAAGCAACAAAGTCAGAACTATTCATCAATGCAACACAACATAAAAAGAAATAACATGCAAACTGGAGTACATACCTCTATTAGCATTCAGAGCAGCTAACTGTGATTTCAGTTTTGCAATAATGCTATTCTGAAGCTCTATCTTTTCCTGCTGTTCATGTATTTGCTGCATGTAGTTTTCTGTCTGCAAATATAATTTAATTAGCATTAATCTTATTCTGTTTTGACTAAGGGTCTCCTATTTGGCATATAAAAAGAGATCTGATTTTTAAAGATAACTGTAGTTGTGAACCTCTACGTGAAAACCCAACTACAGTCACCTTTGTCAAATCCATATTTTTGGGACTGCGCTGATTAAAAAAGGTATTGCAGAAAATAAATCCTGATTTTTAGTAACTGTTTCAACTGTGGTAGTTGTAAAGGATAGGATAACTTTTAAGTTAGGATTCTTCATTTATAGCCACAGAATACATCAGGTTCAAAATGAGAGTTTTAGTATTCTTCAGAATGCTTGTCAGTTAGCTTATCTATAGAAATATGTAATTGTCTTCCCCCATATTTTCTAACAAATAAATTATATAAAAATAGGCTTCCAAAAGGATAGATTTTAAATGGAAAACAACAACCTTGCTTATTCCATACTACAGATATTTTGTAAATAACTTTAATTGCCTATGAGCAGAGTTTTGCCTGTTCTTTGAATGTGGTAGACTTGTTTTTCTAACCTAGAAAACAGAGCAGGGGGGAGAGGGAAAGCAAGTGAGCAGCCCCATTCTGCATCTAGCTATACTCCATCTCATGTTATAAACAAGCCATACAGAGCCTAATAAGACTGCTTACATTTCACCGAAGTGTATAAATATTGTTAGACAGCCAGTTAATCGAACAAATGGTCAGGTGGCAGGAAGATGCTAATATTCAAAACTTATTATTTCATTAGCACATGAATAATGTTGCAGTTACAGTAGTGCTAAAAATAAGCAAGAAAACTTGTGAAGACTCCACAAGGAAACTTACAGGAATGCACTGAATTTTTCTGAAATTAAGAATATGCCTATTACTGAACAGGTCATGACTTGGAACAAGACTAGGCATTGCTTTCATGTCTATTCATAGTTTATCCATACTGCTATCTAATTCTCAAATCTTAGTCACATTTAAATTCCATGCCCCCCTACTGCCCAATGTGTTCGTCTGTAAAGAGGGCAGGAAAAAAAAATGTACAATCAAAATTTATTTTAAAAGGCCAGGTAGTAGTTACTATGAGAGTTTATTTAAAAAAAAAAAAAAAAGTCATCAAAGAGCAGTACACTCCAGCAGCTATAAGAGACCTCATGAAGCAGAAAAATCACTGAGAACCAAATTGAAAATGTACAACAGCAATGTCTTGTCAACACTTCTGTACAGAGCACAGACATGACAGCTAAAACAGACAGAAGAGAAGATGCTTTTGACAGCCAGTGTGCACAAATTATTCCTTGAGTCAGATGGCAGCAACAAGTTACCAACTAGAAGATCTGCATGACAACCAACCATCCATCTGTATCAAACACCATCTGGCCGAGATGACTCTGGCTTCTGTGTGCTTGACATGGCTCCCAGCTCTAGAGACTGGCAAAACAAGTGGCCTATCGGTAACTTAAGTAGTAAACTGTTAACAACAGAATGGTGGACAATCCAACAATGTGTGAAGGCCACACAATGAACAGAGGAAGTTACTAGAGTAAGACACTGTACAAAGGTCATTCAAAAACCAGAAGTTTGGTTAAAAAACTTGGAAAACAACACAAACACAAACCCCAACTAATTATAGTATCAACTCTTCTTGAAAAAATACTTCTGTTCTCTTGAAGTCATGAAATCCAACTACTACAAGTTTGATTAGGACAAAGATTTGAACTGGTAGTACTCCTTATGAAAGGCTTTTGGTTTTAGTTTTTTAACCACATAAAATGCAGAGAGAAATCTTGCAAGCATTTAGTTCACTTAATACTGATGATCTCACACACTTCTTTGGTTTTCTTCCATAGACTTTAGAAGGGCTATCTGACCTTCTACTTGATGTATGCTTTCTTTCATGTACTGTTAGATGACCCAGGAGTATAACTTGACTGGTTTTCCCTCAAATGAGTAATTGTTCATCACAAGGGACAAAATTTAAAAGATTCCCAAACATTCTAAAATGTTTGCCTTTTGTTAAGTTAGTTGCAATTTCAGCACAAAATGTATCAACATGCTGGGCATGTTAAGTACAGAAAGCCCTACAGATTTGCACCAACACTGCTGCAACAGACTATGAATGGAGACAGACTGCACAGTGGAAGATTGCACACATGACTGACTTGATAGCTGTTCTGCAGTGCCTTGGCTAGTTTATTTTGCCATGCAAGGGGATGGCAGGATTGTGTCCAGATATCAAAATATTCTCTAGTAGACCTTCCCCTGATCCCAGTTCTACTACTACTTCTGTAACCTGTAACTTGACATCGAGCACAGTTCACCTGCCCCTGGACAAAGTCCCAGCCTACTAATTCTATGGAAGTATTAGGAAGTCCTATAGCATCAAAAACATTCAAGCTTTCCTGTAACAGAGGTTCCAGTGCTGGGCAGAATATGCACAACAGAATTAGTATGACAAAGCCCAGAGCTTTGCAATATGCTGGCATACATGATGAGAAGTCCTAGAAGAGTTTTGGATGAAGTAATGTATTCTACAACAGACTAAGTAAAAATTCAAAGGTGCTCCTTACTGGTCACAACGTCTCCAGAATCCTTGTTTTACTTCATAATTAAAGAATAATTGTACTGATGATTATACAAAAAAATATCAATAATTATTTGAATAACATTAAGGTAAGATTGCTGTAAATGTTTCAACACACAAACTCTGTTGTCCTAACAGCTTGCACAGTGCTTAACGTATTAGAGTCTTTGACCTTTACAAGAAGTAAACTAGTAATTCATATGAAATATCTTCCTATTAACACAAAAATGATTAAAGCTATTTACATAAATACCTTAAAAGTAATCTTTTAATAAAGCAAATTAAATTTCAAAAAGTACTTCATTAAAGCTAGGTAAATTTTATACAAATCAAAAGACTTCATTAATCCTCCAAAACAGACACTTTTCTCACCTTTAAAACAACAACAACAACGACAAAAAAGGTTGAAAATCTGAAACCCACCTACTACATTCACAGCCTAATGAGTTACTCTGCATTGTACTGGCCTGGCTTCATAATGGCAATTTCCAACTTTAACAGATGCACTAAAGTGCTCACAGCTAAAGTGAAACTGAAATCTACATCTACCACAATCCTCCGTGGGAAGGAGGGCTTCAAAGATACAATTCAGAACCCAACACATACTTTTTGCTGTAGTTCTTTCACAGCATGGTCCCTATCCATGCATGCTTGTCGGTAGGCCTCATAAGCTTTGTTAAGCTGCTCTCCAATGTTTTTGTCCATAATTCCCAATGTTGTTTCATTACTGAAAAGATGATCAAGTAAACAGACCTGAAAAGTAATCAGAAGGAAAAAGAGAGAATGCTAAGAAACAGAAGTGCATAACCAAAACCATATATAATATGACTTGTATTAATATAAAATTCAAGTAATATGTGCAGTATGTTTGAGCATTAACTCACATTAATAGTTTGAACTGTAGCTTTGCTCACCTCAAGCATTTAATTTTATGTCCAGGGATAGGTTTAAACAAAAGCCAAATAAAAGCAGCTTAACTCTGAATCAAATTCTGGATGTACAGAATGTGTAAGTGTCTGAGAATTGAGACTTAAAATTGGTGCAGATCACCTGATTTTATGACATTTCCAACAGCTGAATGTTTACTCAATTGTGAAATCATAGCATTAAAAAACAAACCAAAACTCAGCTCTTAGAATTATTAAATAAAAAGATAAAAGTTCAATAACATTAGGTCACATGGACCTATCCTATTCTGTGCCATTTTTTAAAATGGCAACACAAGCAACACTACAAGGTGAATTAAAATATCATTTATCTAAAAATCAGTAATACCAACCAGTAAGAATTAGCAAGACTCAGACCTTTTCACACAATACTATCAACATTTTACACTTTGTGAACAATTTCAGTAATAATTCCTGAAACTACAGCTCATGAACTTTGACACATAAGACTACAACACTATTAAATGTCACAGACTTCAACTTCAAGACAGTGAACTTTGCAAACACAGATCCTTTGCTTCTATAGTAATACATGATGTAAATTTTAAGATTAGAATTTATTATAATGTAAGTGCAGTAAAGGACAGGTTAGTGAGGTCTCATAAAAACCTCATCCCAAAGTACCAGCATTATGGGGAAAAAAAATAAAAATCAGTAGTTCACATCTCCTCTCTAGATATTTAAAGCCTGTTTACCTCACACAATATGGACAGCCATGATCATCCCTCACTATCTTCTGGGATCATGCATGAACCACAGATACTATTAAGGAAAGTGGTGCAGTCAGAAGACAATAAACTAAACAAGAAGGGTATGAGGATAGCTTGTCTTGGACTCTGGTCAAAATTGTAGGGATTGCAGCTTGAAGATTTTGTTCATGTTTTCTTGCTCTTCAGTATCTTCCATATCATAGAGCCTAAATACAGAAATGTGGTTTGACATTCCTAGAAGGTGCAAAACACTACTGTATGGATGTTGCAATTTTTGTCCTGCAAACTTTATTTTGATGTATGCATATTGCAAAAGCAACTGTATCTCAAGTCCGATATGGCTGGAGTTTAACAGTGGCAAAGTGAATTCTCTAACAGCTTGGAATCATTTAGGGATCCTTTGATGTAACAAGTAATACTGAAATCCAAGTTTGTGAGTTTTGTGTAAAATGCCTACATTGTTTCATATGAAAGGTGGTTGGTTGTTGTTTTTTTTTTTCCCCCCCTAAACATCAGTTCAGTAATTCATAATCTCAGGTCCATGTATAGTGTCTCAAAGCATTGTTAGTAACACAGAGTACTTCATTCACCCCCTTTCTACCCCTAAGAGTATCCCTCTACCAACTGGAATAGTCATTCTAATACCTGGGCACATCTTTAAATAAATGGATAGGCTTTTTTTCAGTTTCAAATGAAGGACTGGTTTATGTAGTTCAATTAATAAAATGAGATATTACAGCTGACTGCAGGGCTGTGTACTGAACTGCAGAAGGGTATTGTTATGGCAGTAAGTGATTGAAAGTGTGCTCTTCTTTAAAAACTTGCAGAGTTTGCACGAATGTTGATTTTGTACTGTTCCAGAATTCTCCAGAGATGCTTGTAACATTCACCTAGTAAGTGGCAACGTCCTGCACATATAAAAGGTAACTTAAAAAAAATCAGTGCAATGAGAATTTAAGAGTGTATGTTCTGCTTCTAATAGAGGCAGTGAAGTTCACCTTCATGTGACTCGCAGTTCACAGAAGATGAAGGCATTAATTTCAGTCATGGAAATTAAAATCTCAATTTGAAAAACAGCATTAAAAATTTATACCTAACTTCCAGCCTTTTACTTACTGATTGTGACTGGGAGTATTAACAAAGAGTTCTGCTGGTACCAAAAGTAATCGATGCAATAGGCAGAATTGTAGTACTGTACCTGATCTTCTACTTGGTAGGGAAAAATAAGGAGAATGGTAGCCAATTTACTGGTAGCTCCCTAAAATCCAGACTCCATGCAGGAAGAAAGGGGCAATAAAAATCATTACTAGTGACACTTTAAGATGGAACTGTAACTAGAAGAACTGGTCCTATATTCCCCCATACCCTAGACATACATTTCTGCTTCCACCTCACCTTTCCCCTTCTTTCAGCACAAGCAGCCTTACTTGTAAACCATATCAGCAAACCAATCCAGCTTAAAACTAAATGCTAAAGGTATTCTTGTGTTAGTTTTAACACAGATCAGCTCCATAGACCACTTCAAATGTCATGATAACACAAAGAAGCCAGCACAGGAGCAGAAAACATCAGCAAAAGGCAGACAGAACTCCTGTGTTCAATGGCAGCACTGGCTTCGAAATTGTAACATGAAGTCATGGTTATGTAACAGTGATGTAAGTCTGTACTGCCACAGAAAAGGATACTCCTGCCTTCCCTCATCTCTGGCCATGTATCTTTGCTGCTTAACTTGTAGTGGTATTAGCGATTTTATGCTATGTCAAAGTAGCTCCCTCCACCCTCAAAAAAACAAAAACAAACCCCCTAAAAAAAACCCCCCAAAACCCAGAGCTAGCTCACTGTGAGGCTGCTGGAGCTCTACTACCAACACAAGGAGGCAGTGGGAACATGAGACGAGCCGTGGGCAGGCCTGCAGCAGTCTAGATTTAGATTGGATTAAACTACTCTCTAGTCACACCCCAAATTGCCTGCTGCTGGAATAAATAACTGATTCTTATGTTATCTATCTCATATCCAGAACTCCTTGCAGTTAGAAAAACTGGCTCCTTTTCCTGCTTCTCCTCCATAGGCATCAATATTTATCAGGGAATTTGCCAACTGTTCCTTGTCATTTACTCTTCTACCTACATCCAGTTAGGAGGAAAAAAAACCCAACAACCTTAAAATAATAAAAAACCCTCCAACCCCCCAAATATCCCCTCTATTTCAATCAGGCTTAGTTATGCTGTATTCCTAATCAGCACAAAGTTGACAACCCTGACCTTTAGCAACTGATATTCTAGATATTCATTAGGTCCTAAAGACTTTCACAATCATTAACAGCAGTATGTAGTCAGAACAGATGCAACAACACAAAATGCTGCATTTATTCTAACAGGGACAGAATTAGAGAAAGAGATTAGCTCCAGAGTTTGTCTGATGAAGGGTTTCTGCAAATGTGAGTACCTGTGAGTGTTGTGAGCTATGGCAATGAGAACTAGAATTTCATCTTTGAGTAAAGACCTGAACACTGGAAAAACAACTGGGTATGGAAAATGTTGTAAAACAAACTTTAAAGTAAACAAACCTAAGGAAACCTGCAGATGCTCTTAAACTACTTGCTTAAAATGAGAAATATTTTGCTGATATAGGTCGAGGAAAAAAAAAAGCAGCAGTAATATGAATTTTCTACAAGTCAAATGCCAAAAAAGCCCCAATGCAAAGATTAGCAACATATTGCTGCGTACATCCTGAAACCCCAGCTCCACAGATCACTAGAGGCACACTTTGAGTTTTCATAGTGCCTCAGAAAACACCTTAAATTCTGAAAAAAGAAGGTTTTAGCTAATCATGTGTATATACACATTCATTCATAATACACATGCCTACCTCTCATAGGTTCATATGAGAACATAGATGCCATCCAGAAGCAAGTACTTCTCTACATATTTCTGTTTTCAAAACAGCTTCTTCAATGGAAATATTTTGTTAAGTTACACTGCCATCATCTTGGGAACAGGAAACCTGTTGAGGTAATAATTTGTGAGAGACTGAGAGCTCACTGCCACTTTCGTTTTGGTTGTGGGTTTGTCTGTTTTGGGGGGGTGTATATTTGTTGGGTTGTTTTTTGTTGTTGTTGCTGTCTAATGGCCGAAATTCCTGCTTTGCCCGGCTGTGGGAAGAGTCGGGGCGCCATCGGGAGCCCCTAATGCCACACCAGCCTTGCAGCCAGAGCGCAGCCACCCCCGTGCGCTCCGGGCAGGGGCCGGCCATGACTGGCGCGCTGGGGTTGTACGCCCCCCGGCGCC